ACACTACCTGCTCTGTTGTGCAAGACTAATGGACGAAAGCAACTTCCGCATGCTATCTCACTGTCACGTAACCCAACTAGATGAAGTTCGGAGCATACATAGGAGGAATCGTAACAGTATACCACGAGCCTACTGATAGAAACACACAATAGGAGAGGGAAATGGGGTTCTGCTTTGAAGGCACTGATTGAAGCGGTTGATGTATGAAGCTACCTAAGTCGCTGGTGAGCCTTAAGAATGCAGGACGTGGTTCTTGATAGGGTGTGTGAACATCACAATTGCAGTGCATGCTCTGCGGTGTGCTCCATTATTGGAGACAGTGTTGGTGAGGAGTTATTGTGGCGAAGTATCCCATTTCTTGAACATTTCTATTGATAGCTGCTGGACAGTTTTTGGTGCATGTGCTGCAACTGCTCCCCCAAATGCATCGCACACGTGCTCGATAGGATTTGAGTGGATAAGGCGGACTGGCTCAACCAATCGCATCTTCTCGCCCCAATATTTTGGCTGTTCGACGCACTTGCACATTGTCACCCATGCAAGCAGTTAGGGTCGAACTCATCCCTGAAGAGGCGCACATCAGAAAGTTCTACAGAACCACATCAATTTAACCAGGAAATCTAACAATTGTGCAGGCCAAAACACGCTGGCAACTTTATGCCTCTCCACACCTTATCGCCTAGGCTATCAAAACAGTCATGTTCGACAATGGTCCTGTATGCGCGTTCCTACTTCTTGTTATATGCGAGTGATCTAGAACCCCTACTATCACTCAGTTTGGTCATAAGTAAGAAAAGGATGCGATCCTCCTAATTGCTGAGCTAAAGTTCTCGCCAACGCGAGAGTTTCAACGGTGACACAAGGTAATTTTCTTCAGGCAGGCTGATCACCACAAACGTAGCGACCATCTGCAATTGCGCTTTATCGTGGTCCACCGGCGCCTTTTCATCGAGCTGCGGGGCTGTGCTTCATATCTCTCGCCAACACGTAAAGCAGTGCTGTGAACGACACAATATTCCAGGGCGTACTCGTAACACATGTTTCTTCATCCAGTTTCCCGATAATTTTTTTCTCAAGTAAAATTACCCCAAGGTTGTGTCTTGCTGTAAAGAACACTACTGCATTTCACGCTGACTTTTTGCTGATGAGTACACTCTCCTTTTACCTGTTTGGTGAACCCCTCGTACTGTGTGACCAGCCTCACTTGAGTCCGACTGAAGTTGGGCTCATGATATGAGGCTCACTTTGTTCATGACTGGAGGATTTTTTGGATCATGCCCCCACAGTTTCACACAATCTGAGAGGAAGTGAGATGTGGCCTCTTTGTGACCAAAGACGCACTAGTTCAGCGCCCTGAGGCTGCCAATCCTCCCCGAACTCCGTCTCCGCCGCCAGTTCTCCGCCCATTAGTGTGGCTAGCAGTTTCATTACTCTTATCGTTTGATGAGGCATTCCGCTTCGAGTGTGTCCTTATAACTTCCCCATGGAATGCGTCATCAATCAAAGCATGATCTTTGCTGAAATGATAGAGGCTATCAGTTTAACATGTGCAAACGACCTCCTAATTGGTTGCTAGCTCGTCCATTATCGGAGGTCAACGGGCAAAGAAAGGAGGTCCTCTTTTGCGCGTTTGATGAATTTTTTGCTTTTTAAGCACTGAAACATTTCAGCGTCCCAATTTCCACCATGAACCCAACCGAATATTCGCAATTCCTCGCTTCAAATTTTGCACACCATTGCAGTAGTGATGCTAGTTTTGTTCTGAAACATTTGAGCCCACTTCTGCAAAAATACGGCAATGTCGCGCAATAGTTCTGCAAATGCCTAATAAGCTCTTTTGCGGTTAGGTAGCTTCCAGAGGAGTCAGCGGACTTTTAGGTTGATATCCAGACTCGCGCCATCTACTAGTGACCAGTTTACGGACTACTATGCATCCCAAATGTAACGTAGCCCTTAGCTTCAATTCATAGTATCTCAGTGTTTTGTAGTAATCCAACTTTCTTTTTTTCAATATCACTGCTTTACAGTGTTGTAATAGCCACAAATAAATAAATGAAAGAAATCCATGGAAACTCAGCCAGCACAGTGCTTCTGCAACCCAGTACTTACGCATGGTTTCGGCTTTCAGAGAAATATTTCCCCCGCATGACCTGATCACAGGTTGACTACGTTAAAAAGAACTTTGGAAAACGACAATCACATTCCCTATAGCAGATCAGTAACCTTGTTCGAAATCAACACTCAGCTGAGTCAGGGTCGAGGGTCGAATCGCACCTACCAAAAAAATGTGTTGCAAAGAGTAAATATTGGGTTGTCTCATAATTCCTGTCTCATTTCTATTCAATTTCAAATTTCTTCCGTCTAAGACCGTTTCATTGCGAAATACGTTAGTATGTTGAAGTATGCTTCAAGAGCCTTAACAGCATGGTTTCGGAAGCGCAAGCCCGTAACGGGTTAATCAACTAGGAATAAAAATAGGTCAGTGACTATAATGAATGATTATGCTTTACGATCCTCAAATGAACTCTGTAGCAAGGAGGACAACAGAGAAGATCAGCGCTGTGTTTGACCCAGTCTCTGCTACTGATAGGGTACTGAGCTAGTGGTCCAATCGCAACGGCAAAGACGAAACGAGCTATGAACTTCAACCTCATACTGGGCCTGCGGTCATTTTTGATGAGCGCCCCTTGCACCCTAAATTGGGAGTGCCTCCGCACGTTGCTACCAGGGTATTGTAGCAGATACCTGAGCGCAGCCGATGCACCAGCACACGCCATCAGTATGGCAAGGACTGCTGCAGAATGAAGTTTTGATGGAAACCTTATGGTCCGGCCGACCATGAGCGGGAAGCACGCCTGACCATCTGGGGAAAATTCCATTCTGGGACGGCAAAAGCAGAGCCTTCCCTAATCGGTCACCAGTGGAAATGAGTCATGAGTCCACTGCGACAACAACATGCGGCACGTCTGATGGCTGCCTCGCAGCCAGGAAGCACCAGCTCAACCAAAGCCCGAACTCCGTTTTCTGAGAATATCGCTCTCGTTTTGTTGGATTCGCTAGGTGGCCTGGTTTGGGAACCACTTCAATGTATGAAGACAAGCATTGCTAAAGTCAGCGCGGAATAGCCCTCTTGGCTGGCTTTGGT